TCAAACTTGCTAATATATTTGTCATATAATGGGGGTATAGAACTTTCATTTTCTTGTTGATACAGCTAACTGAGAGTGTCTATGACTTTTCAGTGTTTTGACTCATTCATTTTAATTTAACTGGAGTCAGGCTTTCCTATGTGAAGTACTATTTTCCTCAAACTGGGAACGTACTAATAATTTCAAATTAAAAAGAGCTTGTGGCAGAAGGACTTTTCCAATTCTTGGCAAGTGTGAAGTTCATTGCAATTATGCTGTGGATAGAAATCTTTCCAAAGGGGGGAAATCACTCTACAAAGGCACACTTTCAATCCATTTCTCTCATGTGACTTGAACATGAAATGATTTTAACAGCCATGTGTGAATCTGGACATTATTCTTAGTTGTTTAGTACTTCAAAAGCACTTTCAAGAGGGAATTGTTTTGCTTATTCGTGATTCCAAATCAAATACACAGAGAGATTTGGAAGATTTGCAACAGGAAGTAATCTCAGTTCTATGTAGCCACTAATCTTGTGTAGAAAAATTCAGCGTTTATGAACAAAGGAAAAGCAGTCTCTTTTAAGTTATAAAAATAAGCCAATGTAGGTTGCATTGTTTAAATAATTAAAATGAAGAAGCTGTAAGTTCATTGTTTTGAGCTGCATTCCTAGAATCATTTTAGAATTGGCCTGGTTCTGAGACACCTAATTGAACAGATCTTTTTCTTACAAGAATACCCTCTTCCTACATGTTATTACGATAATAGTGATATAGTGTCTGCATAGATTTCTGGAGTCTATATAACCTCAACATAAGTTAACTGCATCCAATTCTGATAATTCTGTGAGGTAAATATTCCCATTATATGTGGATAAGTGAGAGGTATAATGGTTTCCCCAAAGTTATCTAGTTAATAAGTAATAGGGCCAGTATTAGAAGCCAGGTCTTCTGACTGCAAATCTGATGCTTTTCCCGTCACATCATCTTACCTTTTTGTGCTGCTTTCTTAGTTAGACATCACACTGTTGGCTCTGTCAAGTTTGTATCTATTTAAATCTCTAGGTCTTTTACATATGTTGTTTTTAAGTCAGGTTCTCCTCATCCTGTACATCTGTAATTGATATTTTTGAACTTAAATACTGGACTTTGTTTATCCCCATCCATTTTCATCTTATTATTTTCAACTTATTATTTTCTACTTCTGAAATCTTTTCAATCTTGATTCTATTATCCAATTTATTTGTTATTCCTTCCAGCTGTTTGTCAATAGCAAATTTTATAAGTAGAATGTCTTTGAAGTTGTAGAAGCCATCCTAGTAATCTCTAGTATACGCTGTGCTTATCACATAGTTGGAACTTAATAAGTGGTAATTGATTAAAAAAAAAAGTGATTTTTATACAGGACAGGGAAAAGAAAATCTGCATATAATCATTTATGAAAAGAAAAAACCCTCAATATACAAAGGGGGGAATTCTGTTGTGTTTATTTCTCATATTTTAATACATTTATAAATAATATTTTTCATGGTAGAAAAAGTCATTAATTATTTTTCTTTTACATCTGAATTTGTTTTCAGTACTTCAGGAATCCATTGCCTGTGATGGTAGTTTTCTGAAATTTTACTGTGTTCACTGAGGATTCTAGAATTTGTCTATGGAGGAGCCTGAATTGAGGAAATCTAGTTGTAAGGCGAGCTATCACACTTATTTTGTGACTATTTGCACAGCAAGCAAAGATTTTTTTACCTAGACTATATGTTAAAAATTAATAAAAGTAATGAAACATTCTAAAGAAATTTTTATTCATGCTAAACATGAGATTGAAGAAACATTAGTTTTCTGTACTAAATAGTATAATAATTATTTAGCATTATATTTTTATTTAGCATGTTTTATGAGTGGTGCTCATGAAGGTTTTGCAGTGAGAAGCTAACATCTCCCAAGCTAACTCTAGGTGCCATCACTACTGGGGTACAAAGAGTGATCCAAGCCAGCCACTCAGCATCTATTTGCCTGCGTGGTCTTACTATACTCTTTATAACTCTTTATAAGCAATAAGTTTATAATTCTCTATAAGCCATAACTTCTGTGAAGTGAAAATAATGTGTGAAAAGATAATATCAACAGTTAGTACTGGTGTTGCAGGTGGAAATAAAAGTTCATGGATAATGCTACAATTATGTAGTATAACATAGAGTCAATTTTATAAATAAAACTTATTTAAATAGGTTTATCAAGTGCTTTAAATCTGTAGTTATAGGATTAATAAAGTCCAGAAAGATCTACTTAAAGTCTTCAGTTATATATAGGGCATCTTGTGGTAGAAGCTATATAATAAGTGTTGCATTCATAGGGATTCATGAAGGTAGTGGGTTGTAGTCCCATTCATTTTTGAGAGTCCATTCTGTTCAACTTTTTAAAAAATAGTTTTTGATCTTGTGTATTTTCACGTTTATTTTCAGTTTTGTACATTTTTATGCTTAAATGGAAGATAAAATTCCAATTGTCTAATGCTTCATGTAAGCACATGAAACATAATTTTTAGTGATCTGGGAGATGGAGACTGTCACAGACCTCATTAGTCAGAAACAGACTGTGTCATCCTAATAAAACTTGCTTTTATGAAGCAGCTGGACAAGCGATTATTCTGACTTTTTCTAAGCCGTAGTCAGTAGATTTCACTGCTGTTATCTTTACAAACATCTGAGTGAATTAATGCATCGATCTCTGAGTATATAACATAATATACAACTACTGAATGTATAATGTAAAGTCATGCTGTTTTAGATTTCATGACTGTATCAACAAATACTCTGTAAGTGGTAATCGGGGTAATGTAGTTACATTCAAAGTGTTAAATTTTTGAATTATTGAAGTCATCATTATTGAATTATGTATTTGAAACTTTGTCTATTTCATAAAATGATTTCAGGTGACTTCTATTTGGAGACATCTCTCCTTTAAACCTGAATGGTATTACACACCATCTGTAATTGTTGAAATCGTCATTATTTATATAGGCTACTTTGTTCTAAAATTAATTTCTATCCCCCAATAACTCACTGGTTTATGTTTGTGGAATACATTTCCAAAACTACTTTCTTTGGCATCCTTTTCAATGGTCAAGAATTAAGTTTATCTTTGTAATTTTCTCCTATTTGTGTAGAAAGTTAGGCCCTCCTATTTGATATTTGAAGATAAATGCAAGAGTGTATTTTGAATTTCTGACCATTAAGTCACTTGGTCAAATCTTTCTAGAATGATATATTGAATCCTCTTTCTTGTTTTCCTAAATGCTCGAGAAATAATGTCTTTCCTATATCATTTTGTTTTATCTTGTAGTTTATTTCTTTGCTAGTTTCCTGTTGTTGATTGACCTCACCTAATTCTTTTCTTCGTCTTAGCATTTCTTCCCTCCCTAATTTCCTGAATTTTATGCTATTTTTTCCAAGAGTTGTGTTCTTCTTAGGATGAAGAACTTGTATTTTTCTATGATTATGTATATCACCTGTATTGTTATTTTACTTACAATAAGATGCTCCAAAGCAGCGCTGACATAGGAATGTGTAACAAAGCCCTATAGAGTCTAAAATTGATTGTTTTGTAACTGTTACCAAAAAATAAAACATAAAAAAATACATAAAGCTAGTATTTTGGAAAAGATACTAGCTTGGCTACAAAAATGCTAGCCATAGCGATGAATGAGTTTGCAAACTGTGAGATATAAAAGGTTAGAAGTTCTCAATGAGTAATAGAATTTCTAAGGGAAATTGTTATACTTTGATTACTATAGAGTGTGTGTCCATCTAGATGAAGAAATAAAATAATGAATAAATTGCATATTTTCTTCTTTCTGTTACCAGATGAAGCAAACTTTAATTAGATCCCAATTTGCTTGTACTTATAAAGATGACTACATGATAAGCAAGGATAATTGGAATAATGTTAATTTAGCATCAAAGCCTTTGTGTGTGCTTCACATGGAAAATGACCTTTCTGGTAATTGACCTTATTTATGCAATTAAATAGCAATTTAATTCTAGTCTACTAATTAGTTTTAACTTAAGTAAAATTAGATTATTTTTGCAAAGTACTGTGAAATGTGAAAGGTTATATTTGTAAAGACCTCAGTTTATTTAAAAAGTTAAATCTAAGTACAAATTTATGGATAGGAATAGGACATAGTTTGATTTAACTAAATGTATTTAAGAAGTAATTTGTAGCATATGTTTAAGGATTAAATGTCATGCATTCAAACAAATATTTATTAGTAGGGCTGACAAGTTGATTACTGGCCAAAGTTAACTCAGAGGTGCTATGGTAAAATGAAAAGTAATGGGATAGTAATGTAGCTGTGTTTGTTAGTCATATTATTTATAGCATTATTTTACTTTAAAAATAAACATTTGAATATTCTTTAGCCATTTTTAGAGTTTATTGTAAAGTTCTCGTGAATATTAGTACTAAATATTATATAATTCCTTTCCGCTTTTTATCTTGCATAACAGAGGGTGTAAATTCATCTGTTGGAAGATCAACAATTGGAAAGAGTTTTGGAAATGTTCATCTGGACAGAAGTAAAAATGAAAAAGTATCAAGAAAATCAACTAGTCAGACAGGAAATAAAAGCTCAAAAAGGAAACAGGTGGATTTGGATGGTGAAAATATTCTCTGTGATAATGGAAATGAACCACCTCAACATAAAAATGTTAAAATACCTAAGAAATCAAATGATTCACAGAATAAATTGTACAGCAAACTAGCTAAAGTAGCAAAAAGTAATAAATGTACTGCCAAGGACAAGTTGATTCCTGGCCAGGCAAAGTTAACTCAGTTTTTTAGACTATAAATTTGTGTCTTATATGCTTTAGGTTTATGTATCTATAAACCATTCACCAAAGACATGCTTAATTTTTAAGAGATCAAGGTGTAAATTATGATGATTTATTATTTTGGTCTACAGTGTATGTAAGGTTAATATGTTAAGCATTGTTTAAAAATACTAGTAAGTCATAATTATGCAGAATTTTCACAAAGTTTAATGCACAGTAAAAGCATATCATTTCAGTTACTGATACATCTTAACACTACTTTCTTTTAAAACAAACATTTAACATGCACAAGTTATAGTAGCATTAGGGGCTTCTCCTCCCATTGACAATTAAATGCTTTCATTTTCTTCTGAAAAGATGATGTGGACCAACAGGTATCAGACTTGCCAACAAGGTCGGTAGACTCTTCCCAGCATACATCTGAGCACTGAAGGAAGAAGAAAGTTTAAATTGTTTAAAGGACTATGATTATCACACAAAATTTATTAAGAAAAAAGCATGGATCTAGCATAACTAATTCTGAGTAAACCAAAATGATAATAATTAATTATTGCTATTCAATCTCACATTTTTGGCAGGTGTAATTGAGCCATGGTCTTATTTGATTTTGTTATGATTGCATCCAAATTCGCTTTAACTCAGAGTTCTGTTTAATGGTGGTAGGACATAGAATTGAATTTTGAAAAGACTACTCACTGTCAAAATCTCTCCTTCCTATAGGAAATTTAGCTGAGTTTTCTTCATCCCCAATTTCTCTCTTTTCTTGTGTTGATTCAGTATTCTGAACTCCATTTTCAGCTGGAAAAGCTACAGATCCTTTTAGTGCAAGATAAGGTTTTATAGCCAGATTCAGTGGCAGACCATGATTTAAGAAATTATGTTTGGAGCCTGTGTTCTGTAAAGAGAAAGTTGATTTGTTTTTTAGCTATCGTATTCAGAGTGGAACTGTAATAAACTGTATAATATTCTTGTCGATCAATTCAAAGATGCTCTGCACTGTTTTTGACTCTTTAAAAATACCTTAGATGCAAATTTATAGGAGAAAAAAAAAACCTTTCAGATAAGAGGGTTTTCCAGGATGGAAGAACTACCTGGCATGCAAGAAATATCATCAGTTGTCCTAATGCATATTGTGACTGCATATACTTCTGTTTATAAAAGTATTAGTTTTACTTTTCAGAGGATTTGTAAGAATCATTTAAATTTTCATTGAAATAAATGACAAGTCACATTGCCACTTACCTTTGAAATTTTGTTTTCCTCTTCGTTCATGAAACTGCTCTCATCGTTTTTATATTGTTCCAGGGAAGGAGCAATAACTGATTCTTCTGCAGTGTCTTCCTTCTGAAAGGCTTTCCCCAACCTGAATGTATTAAATACCATGTCATCGTCTAAATTTCTTATGGACTTGGATGCTGAAAGTAAAATACCTTGAGAAAACAAAGAAAAAGTTAGTATTAATATGTAGGAAGAGAGATTCATTTTTGCCATTCTTAGTTTGATGTTCGCATACAGTCAAACAAGAAAGAAAATGAAAAATTTCTCGGTCAGCCTAGTTGGCAAACGATTCTGTATCTTTATATATTTTCCAGCTTGAATAAAAAGTACTTCAAAGAATTATACTTTTCATCATTTTAGAAATGACTTAACAGATTGACACTAACCTTTATGCAGCTGCTAATACCTATTGTTTTGGTTTTAGTGGCACATTGTTTATTTTGAGTGTGAATTTTCTCAGCATCTGATTAAGATCCTTGGTAGAATGCTTTCTGTTGAGTAGATTATAGTCTCTTGAAAATGGGTTGTTATTAAGGAAGACCACAGGACATCAGGCTCTCTCTATATTATTGTTTCCTTCCATGTATTTTCTGATTAAGTAAAGATATTAAAACTCAAGTTATTTCACTCAAGGATGATAAGGATAAAGTTTTATTTCCTTTTAATCCTGATTAAACTGAAATAATCCTCAAAAGGGATTTTCTTTTATAAATACTTGATATAGTCTTTGGTGATTAAGGTACATATGCCTGTCAGTGTGAACAAAAAGCCATTCATGCTATATCAAAAATTGACCTGTCAGGTATATTTTATCTCTGTATTTACAAAAGGATAATAGGTACAAATATTGGTTAATGAATTTAGCAATTAATGAATAAGTACATGAAAATAATATTTATGTGCCCATAAACATTACTTTTGGATGATGAGTGTATATTGTATGATTTAATTAAACATTTCAGAGTTAATTTCTAATTTTGACCCCGATGAGTAAGATAATACATTCTTTTATATGTCTTCTGGTACATATATGTAAGAATTTTTCTAGAGTATATTTCTCAGTATGGAATTGCTGGGTCATGGAGTATGTATATGTTCAGCTTTACTAATACCAAAATGTTTTCCCACATACTGGTAAGCGATTTGTGCCTCCAATAAACAGGGTATGAGAATTTCCATTGTTCTATGTCCTAGCTGACTCTTAGGCATCTCATTGTCCTTTTAATTTGTATTTTCCTAATTACCAAAGAGGTGAAGTGTCTTCCTATATGTTTATGAGCCATTTATGTTTCCTCTTATGTTAAATGCTTTTTTTTTTTTTTTTTTGCTTTCTCCATTCTTCTATTGGGTTGCCTTTTTCTAATATATTTATGGGAGTTCTTTATATATTCTGGATATTAATTGTTAGTTATATATGTTGCAATTATTTTCTCAGTTTGTGACATATTTTCAGCCCCTCTATGGTGTCTTTTGGTGAACCAAACTGATTAATTTTAATGTTAAATTTTTTTCTTTTTTCTTTATGGCAACTACTTTTAATGTGTTGTTTTTAAGAAATCCTTCTCAATCCTTAGATTATTAATGTGTTTTCATATGTTTTCTTCTAAAAGTTTAAATATTTTGACTTTCATGTTTAGGTTTGTAATTCATCTATAATTTTGTGTATGATATAAGATAGAGATGTAATTTTACTTTTTCCAATGTCCTTATATATTTCTCGAAGAATTCTTCCTGTCCCCACTAATCTGCAGTGCCATCTCTGCAGTATATCAGATTTCTATATATGTGTGGGCTTCTTTCAGAACGTTCTTTCCACAGCCAAATCTACAGTATTAATATAACTTTAAAATAATTTTTAATACTTGGTAGGTCAAATTTCCCAGCCCTCTACTCACCCACATGTTTTTCTTTTTCAGTAATTCCTTAGCTATTCTTAGTCATTTATTTTCCATATAAATCTTAAAATCAGCTTTTCAAGTTCTGTAAGAACACTTGACAGGATATTAAGGTTCAAGTTAGGTGTCCCTTATCTGAAACACTTAGGACCAGAAGTATTTTTGGATTTGGGATTTTTTTTCAGAATTTGGAACATTTGCATTATATCAGTTAAGCATCCCAAAATCTGAAATCTGAAATGCTTCAGTGAATATATATATTTTTAGCATACTGTTAATGCTCAAGAAGTTTCAGATTTTGGAGCATTTTTGGATTTGGGGTTTTCAGATTTGGGTTGCTCAACCTATAATCACATTGATTTTAAAGATTAATTTTGGAGAAGGATTGATATCCTGAAGGTAATTTATTATCTATGAGCATGGCATTTTTCTATATTTGCTTAGATCTTCTTTAATTTTTTTTCTTCTTTAATCTTTTAATGATATTTTCTTTTCTTCATAAAGGTCTTGCATACCTTTGTTGAGAGAATTATAATTCTTTATCATTTTAATTGAATTTCTTATTTTTGGTTATTATAAATTGTATTTTTTTAAAATGATATTTGCAACATTATTGCTGGTATGTGCATGTGCGTTTGGCTTTTGCATAGTAATTTGATAACAGAAAAAACTTTCCAAACTCTTTTTTTTTTTTAATAGTTTATAAATGTATAGATTCTTTGGGATTTTGTATGAAGACAATTGATATAAATTATATAATAATGGCATTTTATCTCTTTCTCCTCAGTTCATCTATATTGTGTATACATGTCTGTGTGTCTGTTCGTGTGTTTATATACACTGGCCAAAGCCTCCAGTAAATACTGAAAATGGAGATAAGAGATATCCTTGCAGTGTTACTGATTTTACAGATAATGATTTTAATGCTTCACCATGGAGCATAATGTTTGATGTAGGTTTCTTATAGATACTTGTTATAAAGTACAGGATGTTCTTTTCTATTTCTGGCTTACTAATAGTTTTTATCATGAATTGTTGAATATTATTGAATGCTTTTTTTTTGCATATATTGAGATGACCAGATCATTTTCTCCTTCAGGCTTTGGAAATATTAACAGATTTTTCTAACGTTAAACTAACCATGTGTTCATGAAAGAAACCTTTAAATTATTGGATTCGGCCGGGCGTAGTGGCTCACGCCTGTAATCCCAGTACTTCGGGAGGCCAAGGTGGGTGGATGACAAGGTCAGGAGATCAAGACCATCCTGGCTAACATGGTGAAACCTCATCTCTACTAAAAATGCAAAAAAAAATTAGCCAGGCGTGGTGGCGGGTGCCTGCAGTCCTAGCTGCTCGGGAGGCTGAGGCAGGAGAAGGGCTTGAACCTGGGAGGCAGAGCTTGCAGTGAGCCGAGATTGTGCTACTGTGCTCCAGCCTGGGCAACAGAGCGAGACTCCATCTCAAAAAAAAGAAAAAAAAATTATTGGATTCAATTTGGCAATATTTGATTTAGTACATTTTACTAAATCAAATTTAAATCAAATTTACTTTTTATGATTAAGAAAGATTGATTTGTAATTTTCCTTTTTTATATTGACTTTGGTTTGATATTAAGGTTGTACTAATTTCATACATTTGAGGCAAGATTTATCCTTTCTTTTCTGTCTTGTTAGACTTTGGGTTTGGTGTTTTCTTGGTAGGATTTTTGTTAAGAATTGATTTACTTTCTTCAGTAGCTGTAGGAACATTTAGCTTCTCTGTTTCTTTTTTAGTTTGTTTTAGGAATTTACATTATTGTATAATTTTTCTGTTTCACTTAAGTACATTTTATCTGAGGTAGACTTAACTGTTGATTTTCTCAGGGACTATTAAGATCTTTCTCAGTAAATGTTTTGTGAGTATAATTATAAACAAAGGACTCTGACATCCCTTGACTTTTTTGATATTCGAGCTTCCTTATCTTTTTAATATTGTTAGTTGTGCCCTAATTTGTTTCCCTTGGTTTGAACCTGGTTTGGATGTGCCTGTTTAATCTATAAAAGTCCTTGTTAGGCTGCATGCGGTGGCTCACGCCTGTAATCCCAGCACTTTGGGAGGCCGAGGTGGGTGGATCACCTGAGGTCAGGAGTTTGTGACCAGCCTGGCCAACATGGTGAGACCCCATCTCTACTAAAAATATAAAAATTAGCCTGGTATGGTCGTGGGCACCTGTAATCCCAGCTACTTAAGAGGCTCAGGCAGGAGAATTGCTTGAACCTGGGAGATGGAGGTTGCAGTGAGCCAACACAGTGCCATTGCACTCCATCCTAGACAACGGAGCAAGACTGTCTTTAAAAAAAAAAAAAAAAGTCCTTGTTAATGGAAATCTTTTTTCTTATATGCTGTTCTGGGAGGGTAATAAATATTAATAATTATGTATTTTGTTTTACATTTCCGCTGGATGAATTGGCTTGACTGACCTTCACTCAAAATTGGGACCAAATCCAAATGATTTTGATGGTTTAGAAAAGTTAATGCTTTAGTTTGTTTAAACTGTCATAGCCTCTGAACACTATGAGGTTTTGCCATAACCATTTAATTATGGAGATAGTTTCCAATTTTTTTAATAACTTTAAAAAAAAATTGGTTACTGTGATGTGCAGTGGAGCATAGCAGACTTCTTTTTCATTGATGCTGAAAATGGAATGTCCACAAGTAGTAGAAGGGAACTTTGGAGAAGTAAAACTATTGCTAGATGGGTTTGGGTGGTTCAGTAAACCTTGCAAAGGCAAAAGGCTTATATCAAATATGATCTTCTTTTTCTGTAGAACTACTGCTGACACTATGTATTTGTAAGTCACTTTATATTAAAGTTCTCTTTGCTCCAATTAACACATCTTTGCTATATGTTGCTGATAAGTTAAATGGCAATTGGCCATTGGCTTACTGAGAATCATCATTTCTTAGTGGCTAATTGTCTGAGTGTAAAAGCCGAGATTGCTCACTCATATAAATTATCAAAAGATGTAAGAAAAGTTAAAACTCCTTCTCAGATTTCTATAGTAAACAACCCATACACTTTCACCTAGAGTTTACCATTAACATTTCACTTCTATCCCTTCCATCCCTTTATTAATCATCTTATTCTTTGAATTCATTTCAAAGTATATTGCATATATCAGTATGCTTTTCACTAAATACTTCAACATACATATCATTAACTGGAATTTAATAGTTGTTTACAGCTTTTTTTTGAAGTAAAATTTATGGAAAGTGAAATGCATAAACCATAAGTGCATATTTGCTAATTTTTGACAAATGTGTATGCTTTTGAAACCCGAAGTCCTTTCAAGATACAGGACATTACCCTCACACCAGAAAGTTATGTCTTACCT